AAGTTGCTGTGGTTTCGCGCAAACAACAGGATGCCTGATAAGAACACATTTTTCGAGCATCGAAGCGTGCATCAATATAACTAGTATAAAAAAATTAGGCAAAGAAATGGATGATAGATTTCATAACCGCATCGTTAGACCTACTAAGCTCTGATACGAATGTTCACGATGAGGCGCAAAGCTGTCAACCGATTACCACCTTGTTGCTGACACGCTACCCTGTGAGAAATGGAGTACCAGACGGTTTGAAGAGATGAACACTGATGCGGAAACCGAGTGGAAGCTCTTTAAGAGTGGCATAATCGACGATGCCGTTGAATGCTGCGGATTAAAACGGGTTGGCCAGCTGATTGTAGGTCAGAAAGGAACATCCGGGTGGACACGAGAAGAACAACTGGCAGTCAAAGAGAAGGCTGCATTCAAGAAATGGACTGGAAACAAAGAGCCTTCAACTGGCATGCGATATATAGAAGCGCGGAAAGCGGCAAGGGAAAAGCCAAAGCTGATTCAAGGGAGAAGTTCGGCGAAGTGTTCGAGTCGAATTTTCAGACGGCAAACAAGGAATTCTGGCAGGCCATCCGCCGGCTCTGAGGTGAGAAGAAAGGCAGTCTAAGATTCCTGAAGGACAGGTCGGCACACCGTCTTAGCGAGGATAAAGATATCCTTCAACGATGGAAAGAGAAATTCTTTGAGGAACTTCCCAACTCCGAGTAACCACAGGAGACTCACCTGCAGAGCAGCAGGGAACGGATATTACCGCTTCTAGAGTGGAAATTACACAAGCTGTGAAAAGTTTGAAAAATGGAAAGGCTGCAGGAACTGATGAAATCTGCCCTGAAATGCTCAAAGCATTAGGCGAACAAGGCATGTACTGTCTTACAAGTGTGTATCAAACTGCCATGGCGAAGGGGAAGACACCAGCGGACTGAAGAATTTGGGTTGTAGTTTACGAAGAGAGACCACGAAGAGTGCTCCAATAATCGGGGTATTTCCTTACTGAATCTCCTGGGCAAAGTCTACGCAAAAGTGCTAGAAACAAGATGCCACGGAAAAAATGACTCCAAGACACAAGAAAACTAGTGGGGCTTCCGATCCGGTCGAAGCACATCTGACCATATATTCACCTTACGCAAGATTGTTGAGAAATAGTTGTAGTTTCCCATCCGGTGTACATGTGCTTTGTTGAGTAAGAGAAAGCCCATGATCAGATCCTGCGCAACAGTCAGTGTACATACCTGCAAACATATCGGATCCATGGCCAGTTGCCAGGGACAATTCAATTATTGTATTTTGAAAGCAAGTGTTGAGCAAGAGTAAAATGCGTTAAGTCAAAACTTTTCAGCGTTAGCACTGGTCTCCGCCATGGCTACGTTCTGTCTCCTCTACTGTTTGTGTTGTTCATGAATAGAATAGTCAGGCGCAGAAGTGAGATTTCACAGACGAATAGTGTATCGGTGTAGGAGATGTGAAGACGAGAAGGTTGTTGTTTGCAGACGACTATGTTTCATTGGCTTCTTCTGAAACCCATCCACAGCGCTCTTTGGAAATGTTAGCAGCCGAGTGCGACGTGGCCAGAATGCGTGTGATCGCCTCTAAAACGAAAAGCCTAGTGCCTTCTCCTTCACCTGTCCGTTACTCTCTTCAGATTAAAGGAGAGGCAGTGGAGCAGGCGGAGAAGTTCAAGTACCTCAGAATTGCATTTGCTAGTGATCGAAAATGTTCATATCCCCGGTACCTCAACGTATCACGATGTACCTTAATGACATAGGGTTTAGGATCTACTACAAGACTGGAATAACATGGGCGACATTTTATTTAAAAAGTACATGTTCATTTATAATCCTGAAGATGCGTTAAATGTTGCATACAAAGTTCAATGCAAAGACCGTGATAAGGTGTACAATGGAAAGACCGACTGGAAATCGAATATCCGTATAAAAGAACGCCATGCTGTCGTAGACAGGCTGACAATTCTGGTACTGCCCAAAATTGAGGGGTATTCTTTCAGTTAGACCAATGTATCTGTCACAGACAAAGACCAATCTAAACTAGATCTGCTGATTAAGGAGTCCTTGCATATACTGGCAATGAAAAACCGGAACTGCGAATACATCTTCTGTGATTATTTGTGAAAGCTGGGGGTCGATTGCACTATACTATGGGTAGATGGGTAGACTGTAGGTGATAAGCAATAGAAAAATTGGCAGTGCTTGCCTGTTGGACATAAATTCCTTGAAGCAGTCAACTGTACTCAATCCAGTCATGGTGATGCTGCGGTCTGTGCAGTGAAACGATTTGGTATTATACTGTTTGACATCTGCTGTATTTGGTGTCCCGAACCATGAATCATTCAAACAATCACGTATATAAGTATGGGCCAAGAATCTGAAACCTGAAGAATTACTTACATGATCGCTGGGAAATTAAGTATATCTCATTTCACTCTTGAAGAAATGACCAATTATTTACGGATTGCATGTGCCAAAGCAAAACAACTAAAGGAGACAATTGTACTGGCAATACGTCTGCAGTTTAGGGTTACTAAATTTCTCTTTTCTTTGCGCCATCCTATCTGCTACCCAAGGTAATCTTCCTATTAATTTTCGGAAACTGTACGTTTGCACAGAAGGATAGGGGCAACGTTGACGAGACAGGCTACTCAACCATAACTGTTGATTACGACATGGATCAACACCGCCATCATTTAAGGTCACAATTGGCTGGTGCAAATACGATAATGCATGACTGATAATGCTTAACAACAATCATAGGAATAAGCAACAAATGTAGCAGAATTAAAGTAGGTATTCCACTGAACTTACCAAACATCGATTCATTCATGTAAAATACACCATGGTCTCAACAAAGCTGATGCTTTACAAATTTTCAACAGAGAACGATACTTCAGTCAAAGAATTTTATCTGAAGAATACTAAAATTGCTCAATCGAAATACTGTAATCTTTCAACATCCTTTAAGCCTCTCTGTAACAGCTTTAAGGTAAAACTTCGTTGAGTCACGGTGGATTTTACATTATTGACCATCTAAACAAAAAAATTCTTTGCCACAATTTAGTTCCTTTCACATACTGTCATAAGGTTTAGTTCATTATCGTTTGCATTCTACTAGATTTCAAAAAAATCGGTTTCGAAAATAGTGGTAAAATCGTGGTAAAATTACCAAAACAGATCAAACACTGCACCGTTTTCGGAACAAACTACAGTCGGATGACCTTCAAGTTGCCGCTCATTTTACTTCTATCCTGTCCAAAATTGCAACTTTAGATGCAGCCGATCCATAAAGTAAATTAGAAATTGTTGGAATGTCCGATTTCTTTAAACTTTCGTAGTTAAGGGCCACTCGTGACAGCTTCTTTCCATTAGGTTAATGACGAGGTGCCTATCTCAGTTTCTATTCCAGTAGCGAAGAGTGTATTTTTCTAACTGCACACTCTACGGCTAGGTGGCAAGCATCGTGTATGGTCTCCTGTTACCTTCCCACACAATGGCATTTAATCAGCAACCTCGGAAGTAACAAAGGCAAATGATAATGACCGGAAATTGAACTCAGTTTCTCTCGGTTCGACTGAGCAACCACAGCCTGAAGCAACTCATGCTATATTCCTTACTTAAGGGATTCAAAAATAAGACAAAGTTTTCCCACGATCGGGCACCCAAGCAGATCTCTTAGACCTCGTGTCGATACCTCCACTCCTCAGAGAAAAAACCGGCAGAACAGGAGCGTCAAGGATATATTAAATATGCTGCGACAATGTCAGATGTGACAAGAAATACAAGTTCTTCGCCAATTTGATGAGCTTTCTCGCTTATGTCACCAAGAAGATATATTATCTGCTGCAATCTAGCACAATAGCCACAAGCCGCTGAGAACAGCAGAACTACTTTTGAAGTCAGCCAATTATCCTGTTTTTCTTGACAAAGATCCATGAGACAGGTTCAAACGTCGATACTCGTCAGTCTTCCGTCTGGCAGTATTATTTGTCTTACATATGTAAAAGTCTGTTCTATGCTGTTTTTCGGGATGAACGCCAACATACACAGAGAACTCTCAATCACTGATAGATACTTATGTCACTCTGTTTATATAATCTTCAAACATATCTGCACAAATAGTTTTTGTTCACTGGTATTCTTTATGCTTCTGTGATTAATTCAAATTTCTATTTAACGGGCAAACACCGTCTAGTTGTGACCTTCAAAAAGAGATATTGCACTCGTGGTTCCATTCAAGTAAGTATTAAACTTTCAGATCGGCGAAGTCTAGCCGTTACCTCTGCACCACTTACTATCAAAGCAGGTTTTGCAACATAGATAATGCCAAATGTCAAATTCAGTAATGGA